TATTGGAGCACTGAAAATAATGAACAATTAACGGTTACAAGATTAAGTTCAAAAGAAAAATGGAGGCATAGCACGACATGGAAAATTAAGAACCTCCTTAGCACGGGATAAAACTGTAGTGTGGCGAACTAATTCTACGGTATAGAAAACGATATATTGTTCTGTGTATGAATGGATTCAATCATGGAAACGAGAAAGGCATTTTAATCACGTCACTTTAGCGCAAAGTAAGGGTGTGCACAATATTTGACAAGATTGGACAGTATAGTGAACAAGAAGTCTATCCAGTCATCCCTAACAAATATTCCAAAAAATATGAAAGCAATATTGATACGAAACTTATACATAACAGTTGTAATTGATAAAATAAAAATAAAAGAGGTAATTGAATATAAATATCCAGATTGCGAGAAATACATTACCCAAAACAAAAGAATTATACTAGTACCTTTTATGATTTCTTTGGTTTCTATGGATTTTTTTATTCAAATAATTTACACATGAAAGTCGAAATCTGAAATGTTTATCCTTTCATTGTCAAAGTTATTTACTAATAGCAAAGCAGCACCTCAACATACCCAAAACAAATGGAAAAAGAGAGAAAGGAAAAAGTTATTGTTTTAGCTATAGGCAGTACCTATTACCCTATAACCCCTAAATCAAAACTATTTACACCGTTTATATAGCTCAAATGGGCATACCCAACATACCCACACAAATTCCTATAATCATACAATTTATTTATTCTCACTCAATTGGTTTACAGTAGATGCAATTATTTACTAAACAAGCAAAGCCTCTTGTACTAATGCAAAGTTATCTAGCTGGAAAATTGATATATGCGCCTCATAAATACCTCGAGATCATGGTCGTATCTTCTATATTTACAGAGGGATAATTAGCACAAAACGTCCATACCTTTCGTTTTTTGGCGCATTTCATCCCAACCTTTACATTTTCTTGTATAAAACATCATTTTCATCATTTTTCTCAATAAAGCTATAAAATGACTGATATACCCTTTTATTTAAATAACAAAAACAAAAATAAAAAATTAATTGCAATCATAATCCCAAATTTTAAAAAAGTTTAAAAGAGTCCCAAATAAAAAATAAAAAAATTCTCCACCACCACCACCACCACCACCAATTTTCATTAGCTACCCTAACTATCGAAAACTACCCTCCATGCCGATGGCCCCTTGCCTACAACACAATTTAACAAACAACCAATCCAAACATCTAATTTAGAGACAGAAATTGGTGGAAAACAATCTCAATTTTTCGCACCCTATACAAATCGATTCCACCACTTCCAGCGACACTCATGGTCGTCCATGGCCACCAGTCATCTCCTCTTTATCTACACGAATGTCGTAATGGATTAACATTGCCAAAACATGCCTTAAATGTTGCTGAATTTTTTAATAAAACAACCTGGTTCGTGGGCACAATGAGGCAGTAGTGCCTCTTCCAATTGATGGGTCCCAAGCTATTTTTCCACCAAATGGCCACCAGTCGAGCGTCCAGCAACCTCATAAGACCTTAGATGTGCATTCAGTTGATTCAATCCAACCTCCAATCGATCCAATTTTTCAAAGCAATTCTGCAGATTCTTCTAGGGTAGATGTGCTTGCGCTTTCTCCTCCTATTCCTCCTTTATCAGTTTCGCACCAATTCTCTTTTCAGAGGACTCTTCACCCGTGGAATCTTCCATATTTTCAGTCACAAGGGCCACCATTGACCAGGGATTATTCACACTTGATGAAATCCAGTAATACTTATGGATATGGTGATGGATCTTACAGTTGAAATAGTAATGTTATAATCGGAGCCGGAGCTAGAACTAGAGCATTAGCTCTACATCAGCTCGAAATGGTGCAAATGCAAAGGGTAGGTGGGGTTGGGTTGGGATTGAGCGAACGATGTTTGAATCGTTGCCGGTGGTCCAATGGACGGCTACAAAAAAAGGACTCAGGCTGTTTGGTGTGAATATGGAGTGTCCCATATTGTCATTACAACTATATTGGGACTTTTTGAACTTTTTTTTTATTTTTGACTCTTTTGAACTTTTTTTTTAAAAATTGGGACTATAATTGCAATTAGTTATTTATTTATTTATTTAAATGGAATGGTATATTAGTTATTTTATAGCTTTTGATGTTTTGCACAAGAAAAGGTAAAGGTAGAGATGAAATGTGTCAAAAAATAAAAGGTGTGAACATTTTTCACAAAAATATGAAAGTTGGGGACATTTTGTACTAATTACCCTTTACAGAGTTCACGAATGCAACTATCAAGTAACAATTTATCCTCTTTGCTACTGTTCCTTTTTTAGGAATCAATACCGACAATCTCCAATACAAGCCGTCTTTCCCTCCACCAAAGGTCACACAAAAGAACGTGTCAAAATGGAAATAGACCAGTTAGGGTCTACTTTATTAGCTTTGTCTTCATAAACTTCCAAACTGCTAAGATATAAGCCCATGAAAGGACATCATACTGGACATGGAAATACGATTATATATCTACAGAAATCGCAAAATGATATCCAAGATGAAGACAAAAAGGCAATTAAATCTTATAGAGGGTACATGAGTGGATCATTTGCTTGGGTTTCAAGTCTCAAGACGCCGTTTCAATTCTTTCAGGCTAGTACGAACCTCATTCGTAGCCCATAGCTCCATTGGGTAGATATTGGGCTGCTCACTCGTCTTTGAATTCAAGGCAAAGCTTTGTAAGCCAAAAAAATAAAAAAACATAACAAAAATTCCAATCTATCAAAAAATCATAACACAAATGTATGATAATAGAAAGGCTTGAGAAGAAAGGGGAAAAGAGAGAAATTTTTGTGGATGAGAAGAAACAAAAAAGATGGATTTGAAGAGGCGGGGTCAGGTAGCGTAAAAAATTAGAGAGAGAGCTTTTTGTCAGATTGTTGTAAATTGAGAGAGATGATTGAAACAACATTAACCTAAACGACGCCGTCTTCACACAAATGAAGGTAAAACATTGTTGTTTCCTTCTCATATAAGAAAAAAGGGATAATTGCAGCAGAGGGCTCAAACCTTTCAAATGCTAATAGACTTTTCCCAAACTTTTGATTTGTTACAACCGTCGCCCCTAACATTTTCAAACGTTGCAGGTGAAGTTCCAATGGATAAAAAAAATCCAATTTATCGTTAGTTGACTAAAAAATTGAGTTTGACTACATCTTTAATATTTTTATAAAGGGCAAAATAGTAACTTTCTATTTATTAAATTAAATAATTACATAATTAATTAATTAAATTAAAAAACAAAAAAAAAGGTGGAAAAAACTAGTATCTTTTTCCTCCGATCACTTACCCAACCTACCCAGCCCTAGCCCCAACCCCAACCCCAACCCCAACCCCAACCACTTCACATCAAGCATTTAATGCTACTAGAAATGTGTGATTAAGGGTATTTTGGACTTTGCACCCCAAAAATGTGACATTTTTTCTCACAAAAAGTGAAAATGACATTTTTTTTAACTTTCATTTTTTGTGACAATTTTGTAAAATACCATAAAGTTAATGATGCTTATTTCTTTGATATTGTCATTGCTTTTTCTCTATGAAAGTTCACAGTTTCTTCTTTCTTGGAACCTGTTTTAAAATTCAGATCAACATGGCCATTTAACAAAAAGGCTTATGACACCGCTTTCAATTTACTATCGGTTGTACTATATGTACATCATAATTTTAAATTTGTTAATCAGACGTGTCGAAAGAGGATCGAGTCAAAATTTCACCAATCAATTAAAAAATAAAATTCATCCATTTTCTTTTTGCCACCTCACCAATTTGTAATTGGTTATGTATAACAATCATTTTCCATCTAATATCGATCGCTAGATCACTGACTCGAACTCATTAACACGTTGGACATTTTCAAATGAAATTTTTTGAAGTTTATTGATAAGTTGTTTACCAATTACCACTGTAGAATCCAATTTTCACTTTTCAATTGCGTTTTGGAGATTGCTAATTATTTTTTAACGATATTTATTTTAATCCATTTTAAAAATCCTCTATCTCCTCAAGTTTAGGATTAATTTAACGAAGGACAATTGTTATCAATATTAAGTCTTGATTGGAATTTATTCATGTGTTCAGTCAATGGTTGGCAATTGAAATATTTGATAAGTAATCTATCTTTTCATCTGAATTAGTGAACGGATCGATTTTGAAAACTAGGTTTGGAACCCCCTTCCTCCATAGTCAACGCTACCGAAGGCCCTTTTGGCCTCCATTATCTAAAACTAATTTATACATTCTTCGAAAAATTTATTTCTCACAAGATCTATCATCAAAAGATTTCTACCAATCACAATTGTAACCCTTTAAAAATTAGGATTAATTATATGAACGGTCACTGAAGTCTAGTCCGAGCTACTACTTAATAGCTATGCTTTAAAAAGTATCTTGTTGGTTACACAATTATTCTTCATGTTATTCATCCATTACTCATCTTAACACTGTTGATCTAATTAGACGAAAATTCGCATGTGGCTTAGTGAATTTCAACATGGCCAAATTTTACAGTTAACCATTGTCAAGTTAGAAAGTAGCACGGAATTTTAAATACTAATTTTCAACCACACATTCTTCATTAAAATAATATTACACACAAGTAAATTTTTTTTTTAAAACCACACATTTCAATATCAATCACCATTCCATAATACACTTTTTGAAATTAAAGAGCAAAAAACATGTCGTAAGTCTTCATTTTGATGGGTTAAAATCATACGACATGCTGACTTGACAATGATTAATTGTAAAATTTGGCCATGTTGGAATTCAGTGAGTCATGTGAAAGTTTTCTAGCGACGCTTAGATAAGTGATGAATAAGTAACATAAAGAGTAATCGGGTGACAAATGAGATATATTTTAAAGTACAATTATTAAGTAATAGCTTCTCTTAAACATTAGTGACCATTTATATAATTAACCCTCACGCTATAACCCTTCTTTCAATAGAGTTACATACTTCACATAGCGTTGATTTTTCACACAGAAGGGGATTCAGACCAGCAACCAGCTACCCATAGGTGCACATGTACATGCATGAAGGGGGGACGACAGAGAAAGACGAAGGCAGAAATGGGCCCGGACGATGATGACCCTTTCCCAATCGGTAACAAGGACGCTGAGAGAGAGCGTCAGCTGGCTGCAGAAGAGTCGGCCGAGAAACCGAAGCCTTCGTCGGAAGTGGACGGCGGAGGAGAAGAGGAATCACTGCTTGACCCGAACTGCAGGATTTGGTCTGATCAAGACCTGAGCGCCACTATTGCAAGGATGAAAGCCACGTTGAAAGTGATGGGAAAAAATTTACCCGATGGTGGCGAAAAATTGCGAGTGAATATAATGCGCCACGAAGCTGAGTTGCAGAGCAGAAAAATTCGGAGGGTATGATTTTTTTGCTTCTTTGTTCTCAATTTATTTTCCCCAATTGGAAAAATGTAAATTTTGTGGGAATTCAATTTGGCCTTGGATAAGCAATTGAGTATTCATACGCGTGCGCATACGGGGAACTAATGGATGTATCTGAATCCATATCTAATTGTGCTGAAGGGTATCTTTAGCTGTGTGATGTTCCAGTCAAAACCCATGAGTTGTAATCATGGAGGTTGATTCAAAGATTTTAGTTATGTAACAGGTGAATGTGGGTTGATCTGTCTGCTGTGAGATAATCTAGGATATCCTTTTATGAAGGTGTTTATTGTGTTGGGGGTTCTTATCAAGTGTTAGGGGGGCCAAAAAATAAAAAAATAAAAAAAAATTAGTACATGCTAGTCCGTCTTGAATGCCATTGATCGGGTGCAATGAGTTTTCAGGGACTGAAAATGGGATATCCAATCATTGTTAGGCAGGTATATATTGTACTATATTCATCAATAAAAGTCCGTTCCAGTTCATCATTTACTATTAGAGAGAGAAGGTAATTTGGAGTGCATTTTTGCTAGATATATATTGTGCTATATTCATCAATAAAAGTTCATTCCAGTTCACCATTTACTATTAGAGAGGTAATTTGGAGTGCATTTTTGCTAGAATAAGGAAAAAGCATTCTAGAAAGATTGAAGTCAACTTTGAATATAAGAGCATATTCTGGTACTGTGTTCCCATGATCCATCCATTCACTTGCGTTTTAAGTGTTAAATTAGTAATCTTTGTATAAATTTGCTTCACAGGATGATGAAAAATGTAGGAAGCTTATACAATCTATCAATAACAGAACTTGTACTGGTAAGGTTATTATTCTCTTTAAGTGTCAGTATCAGAAACTTCTCTCATATAGTCTTTCAAAATGTTGATATACTTGAAAATATTTTGCGTCTTGGTCTTTTAGGTCGGGAATTCTAGTAATAAAAATAGTCTGTTCATGCAAATACAAAATCATGCCTCAAAATCATGTTACTAAGGATGAGTACTCAAGTGATTGTATCTTTCAAGTCTTGAACTACTGGGCTCCTTGACTTTGATTTTTTGCCTTCCAAGAAAAACACATGTTTTCTTTTGTCATTAATTTTTGGAAACAATACAGACAATTAAATTTGAAGTAAGGAATTGGGCTTGCTCTAGGATGCTTTGGTTGTGCACATCAAATGCATTTGATGTACTGTTTCTTCCCTGCAGTCTTATTCAGAACATCTGTTGCATAGAGCAGAAGTTAAAAGTTTAAGGTGTTGTGCAGGAGAACTTGATTTCACCGGGCCAAGAGATCCATCTTCTGCACCCTCCTCGCTATCCGTATTCAGCTCCAGTTTCTGCAGCAGTTTGGATGACAAAGTATGATTTCCATGAGTACTTTACTATATAGTCTTGGCTGCTTTAATCTTTGAGTCACTTTCATTATTTTATGCACATGATTATACAGACAGCTCATTTGACAATCAATGTCCCTGGAAAAGACATATCTACTTTGATGCAATGTGGTAGGAAGAATACAAGAGTAGACAGGAGATTTTCAGCCAGGAGAATAAAGAAGCGTGGTTCATCTTTTAGACAAAAACCATTTCAAACTTCAAACCATCTTCCAGTAAAAGTTGTTGAGCAATCCCTATCAAATGATGAACGAAAGAGAAATCTCTCTCCAACTCCTTCACCTTGTCATTTTGAAGATGATTTATCAGGCCGTTTAACAAAGAAGTATTACTTTCTATTATGTCTTTGTCTTCATCTATTTACATCTTCGCCAGGATTTGCCCCATACTATTTTTACTCGCGTCTTTTGATTAACTAACTCATAGTTGTTTCTTTTGTCGTTACTGTTATTTTAACCACTGCTACCATCAGTACTGATTTTTGCAACTTATATATGCTGTGTTGCTGCTTGTCAACTTGTACCTTTTGGTAATTAGCTTGCTTTCCACTTAATGTTTTATTATTATTATTAAAGTTGTCAAGACAGACAATAAGACTGAGTACCTTACTTTCAGCATTGACTGCACTGTATGCAAGGAGTGCTGCCAACCAAAGAATTGCAATTGATAATCCAAGCATCTTACCACTACACGAGAAATCTTTGATGTAGCAGGACAGAGCTAAACATCAACTGTCTGACAAGTTTTCTTGTATCTGTGCTATGGTTGTTGCCAAAATTAGTCATTGTGGAAGTCTAGCTAGTTATCTGTAATTGTTTAATCACCAACAAAATCTCCTGGCCTATTCACACCTGAAAAATGAAGGGAAAACTAAATATGAAAACTAAATATGTTTTGTTTTCATCTTTTTTATTTCCTTGTTTTGGAACTTGGTGGTAAACTCTTCACCAATCAAAATAACAAACGGTAATATATGGTGGGTATTCTCTAATTGATTCTGATCTCTTTCTTTTTTCATTTTTCTTTTTCCTTTTTCATATGCCAGGATTGCTGCTTGTATCCAACCTTCTCAGAATATTAGGTACGATAATGTAAGTTACCCTACTTTCTCTAGACACTCCTTCATAAATTTCTCTCTCTATGTTTTCTATAATTATTGTATTGATTTGACACTATGCCATCATTGCCTGTTACAAATAGATTTCTTATATTGATTTTACCTTCAATAATTCTGGAATAGGATGATCACAAACTCCTTAGCCGTCTCAATAAATTACCCACATAATGAAGGTAAACAAAAAATGCTACATCCAAAATGAACTTCCTATGCTTGTCCAAAAAGAGAGATTTGTCAGCCATTATATTGTATTCATAGACATTCACGTGCTTGTTTGAATGAATTTACAAAAGTAATTAAAAAATGGCGAAGGAACGTGAGAATCCAGTTTTTGAAAAGGATATGCAATTCAAGTGGCTTAAAATTTGTCCACCAAACTTTTGAACTCGTATATGTTATTTGACGGTGATTTTGGTCTTGCATTTTACTTTATAGCTAATATAATCAGTTGTTGCCTTGACTTATTGACCCCACTTCATTGCTCCATAACCATTCCATAACTATAGTAGCAGCTTTCTTTCATTCTGCAAGTCAGGTAGTGTGCTGAGCTGGACACAGTTGTCCCCTTGAGTTATAATCGTCGGCCATATCTTGCGGAGTCATAGCAATGCATTTAGCATTTCTTTTTTAGGTCCCTCTTTAGATTGTTTCCTTCTTGTGTATTAGTTCAGAATGCTGCAGGTCTTTACAGTCCTCTCATCTTCTATTTGCCGTCCATGGTTTCCACACTCAATATCCTGAAATTATTTTTCAGGGAAAGAGTATCGTTCTAGAGGATGAAGAGGAACCTGAGGTTCCAGAGAAAGCAAGAAAAGCTGACCAAGTGTATGAATGCTATCATAATGATGTATTTTAACTTCCGTAGTAAGCTTTGTGTACTGATCCTGTATTATTCATTCAGCATGAAGAGCCTAAGATATACTATTCCTCTAGATGAAATATGTGTTGTAATTTTTATAATGAATATGATATGTCATCTACCTTGAACAGAAATATTTCAAAGTCCTGTTACAAGTTCTAAGTTATTTTTTCTTCCGAACTTGTAAAATATAGGTATGATCCTGAATCAGTTGAATTCTATTGTTCAGACTTGGAATGTTTAGCTCCTCAGTCATATTTGTCATCAGACATAATGAATTATTACATCCGGTAAGTCAATGCGGGAATCAACTTTACTTTTTGTCATTATCATCTTTAGGCAAGGGACTTCCAAAACTTGAGTTCCCTTCCACAACACGCGCGCGCACACACATCTAAAAGTACCCAATTCTCCCTCTACTCTCTCCTTTGTGATTTATGATACTAGTACTACTAAAATGATCTTCGCTGGAATATACTTAAATGTCTCGTTGCGTGTAAGCAGTATTGTCTTTGTAGAAGCCATATCATTATTGAGGAACTTAGTTTCTTGCTTCTGTTTGCAAATAAAGAAAGTTAAAATTGAACTCATTCAATCTGCATTTGCTCTGTCTGTCTGTCCCGGGATTCTAATCCTATCAGTTTCTAGGAGAGGACTTAATTGGACTGCTTTTGGAAATAAATGAGTATTTTGGCTTGTTAGCTAGATACATTGATTTTGCTCAACATTATTGACCAATTTTCTCGAATTTTTCAACTTAAAACCTGGAACTACCAAGTCTCACCACCCTTGATAATGTGTTTGTACTTCCATAAACGATAGCTAGTCAGTTCTCGTAGCTGTGCCATTTACATCCATTGCTTAATGTTCGGACTGCAATTCCTGTGTAGTAATTGGAACAAATCTGGGGGAAAGTTGAAATTTATTAATTTTGAAATGAGGTCTATGGACGAGTCATTTCCATCCCTTACTATTTGTATTAGTTCCATCTTTAATGAGTTGTGACTTCGTAGTTCATTTTCTCATTATCAATCTCTCTCTTCAATCAGACTAAAACTTGATTCCCTGAATCCACTTTCACCTATTCAAAGTAAATGACATTGCATACACCGCATGAATTCGTTCTCGACGATGTTTAATCTATGTTAAAAAATATAAAAAATAATTATGTTTCTTTGTATCTTTTCAGTCTTAAGGTCTTAGTGCTACTCCATTTGAAGGCTGTGTGCTTATGCACTTGGGTGGTTAAAAGAAATAAATGGGGAGAGGCCAAAGCCGTGAATATTCATTTAATGATTTGTGGTTCTGCTCTGCGTAGGTATCTGCAGAAGCCAGCATCTTCGACAGACACAGAAAGACACAAGTATCATTTTTTTAACACATATTTTTACGAGAAGTTGAAACAGGATGTTCTAAGAAAGGTATTTATTTGTCGCTACTTAAACCCTTTTTGGATTCACCAATTCTCTATTACAACTAAACTTGGTCCCTAGTTGTGCCTCTGGAAGTTCCAAATTCATACTTGATACTTCAGTAACTGGTGAAAATCCAGGCATTAAAAATTATCTGAATGTGCATTACTTCTTGGTTGGTTCCTTATGGGCTTCTAGGTGAGGAGGAGGATGTTCACATCACTTTTGTTTTTCATGTTCCAAATTAATGTGTGATCATTTAAAGGAAACCGTTTTGTATTTGGGAATCATTTGGTTGATGTCACGGGTCTAAAAATGAGACAGTAAAGACAATTGATTCTCTCTATCTGTAAGATGACTATAGTCATTTTGTTGGCGTTTCCTTGTATTGTTGGATTTGTTATTCTAATCCAATAGAGAATTTTAAAAATCTTTTTTTTTTTTTCATCATAAACATTAGCTTATTTGCAGGGATGAGTCCTCTTTGCAATTCTCTATTTGAATGTTTAACTTTCCATGGAGTCTTTCATAGGCTGTTTTTCTTTCAATAATGCAGAACAAGCTGGAAACTTCATTTGTGAAGTTCAGAAGATGGTGGAAAGGCATCAATATATTTGAGAAAGCATATATTTTCCTACCAATTCATGAAGAGTAAGTTGTGGTTAATTCTGAAGCTCTTCGGAGTTGAATTTAGTTTACTCATGGGAAAGAAAGATATGCTGATTAATTAAGGTGAAAACTGATGAATTCTGAGAGATCTGTACTTCAATTTCTGTTCAATATTGTCCATCTTCATCTATTAAGTCCTCACTTTTCACAGAGTAGGTTTTAATTATTAAACTTGTATGTAAAATTATTCTCCGAATTTATAATTTGTCATCACTGTTGCTTGACATTTGGTGATATTGATCTTATAATCAAAAGTTTCTGTTTCTTTAACTTTTTCTTGAACGAAGTTTAGCACTTGTACAAGATAAAGATGTCGTACATGGTCGTTATATTGACTGAAACAGTTGATGCAGCCATGTTAATGGCAGCAGTGAACTGCCACTCTGCCAGTTTAATATTTACACGTCTCCATCGAATCACTGATTTGGAAGCACACATTATATTGCTGCTTAATGAGTGTGATAGACATGATCAGAGCCATCTCTGAGTTTCTTCCCTGTTGTTGAGGGACAAAAAATCAATCTCTATGATAGGATCCCGAGGACAATTTGGACAGGTCAAGCAAAAGGGCAGAACGGGATATTTAAGTCACTGATTCACATGGTGGATAATTTGGGAATCTTCTGGAACACAATTGCAGTGAACATAAAAGAAGGTGGGAGGGTAGTGTAGGATTGCTTTCTATGTTGAGAGAAAATTGGGGAGAGGTAACCCAGAGGGATAGTTGGCTTTGAGTTTGCTCTCCAATGGTTACCAATTCGAATCCTTTTAGGACCATTGAGGTGAGTACCCGACTGTGAACTTCAGGGCTCCGTGGAATTAGTCGAGGTGTGCGTAAGTTGGCCCGAACACCCATGGTCATAAAAATTAAAAAATAATAAAATTGGGGAGAGAGGCAGGTCTCTCAGAAAACTTTTCATTCAGTAGTTCAGTGAAGTGTAACTTGATCTGAACACATCTATAAATAAGCACGCTCCTGCTTTGGATGCTTTGATTTTTAAAACTTATATGCGAGTCTGCATTATAGTGTTTCATAAAACTTATGGCAGGCTTCTGTTTTGACCCCTTATCCCATTTTGCTGAGCTCACAATGATCTCTGTGTTCTGCTTTTTCTCTCTTTTGCAGTTTACATTGGAGTTTGGTCATAATTTGTATTCCAGATAAGGAAGATGAATCAGGACCAATTTTACTTCATCTGGACTCTTTAAAATTTCACTCCAGCAAGTCAATTTTTAATAATATACGGAGGTCAGTTGAATTCTATTTTTGGCTGTAAAGTTATGTGGCATGCCACTGTTTTCAAGCATAGTTCATGAGATTTATGATAGCTATACTATGAGTGCCATTCATTTATGGGTTGGTCGTGCACAATTATCAACTAATTTTTTTATTACCAATTCTTTCAAAAGCTTAAGCTGTTGTAGATCGTTATACAATTTATATGTTAAAAATGCCATTTCATGTGCGAGTTAAATACTTTCTGAATGAACCAAACACATAAAAGTCAGGTCATAAGGTGGTGGTGATATTTGAAAGCAAGGCTACAACCTTTGGCTGCTTGTTATCAAGTGAAATTACCACGTCATTGCAATTTGAAATAATTGTCTGTTTTATATTAGCACGAATAACGACTTATTAATTCTATTCTGCGCTCTCCCCTAATCTCTTAACCTTATAGGTAAGAAGATTGCTTCTATATCTTGTTAAAACTTATTATATATCCATGTGGTACCTTGCGCTCTTGTATCAATTATTTTGCCACGAGACGAGCCCTACCACTTGTAGATACGATACTTTTAGTCTTCTTTGTGATTTTTATTTTTATTTTTATTTTTTTGTGTGCCATATTCTTAATTTAGTACCGATATCCTGTAATATTTTCTGTTCTCCAGTTAGGGGATGTGTAATGTACAGTAACTCAACTCTGATAAGATCTGGATTGACTGGTAGAAAAAGAAATGTGAAGCACCTCTAAAATCTTAATAAGTATTAATATCTCTTCTTCCTTATTTTCTGATAAACATGGACCATTCACATTATTTAACCCCATAAATTTTATTGGTTCTGATTATAAATTCATTGATCTTTCTTTAGAGCTTGTATCTGCTGTATTTCTCTTTGCTTTCTAAATGGCATGGGCACCGGATTTCAGCACAATTTGCTGGTTGCCTTCCTTCTCTTTGATGGTAGTTTGACTTACAAATGTACACCTTGCTGTTTAACCATATGGCACAGTCATTCGTTTAAGGAAAAGCAAGGAAATAGAAGGGCTAGATCGTGGAATTTTTGTCCATATGATTAAATTTGTTGATTCTTCCACAACAAGTGTACGGGGAATATGCTGTTGTTGATCTTATCATCATGCTATGTCACTTTGTTGCATTTTGGCAAGTAGAGTGCTTGCTGCTTGACATTCTATTTTGTATATTCTGAGCAAGGCATAATTCACTTAATTCAGTCCTCAGAAACACAATGTTTAACCAATTTCTCTTTTAACTTCAGAATAAATGTTCAATATGAAATTTAAAGTCATTTTCATCTTCACCTTGTTGTTGACATGAAATATGTATATCATTCTGCAGCTTTCTAATAGAAGAGTGGAAATTTTTGAGGCAAGGAGAATCTAAGTCCCAGTGTCTGATCGCAGACAAAATATGGCGGAAACTTTCTCGAAGAATTGATGAGAAAATAATTGAGGTACTCCCATGCTTCTTTGGCTTTCAATAAGATTGTTAGATTCTGTTATTTCTAGCCTGTTTGAAAAAATTTCTATTTGTAATTCAGTATCTTGGGACATAGCATGCTTTGTCATTGCTTGAAACAAGGTTATGATTGTAATATTTCCTTTTGTATGCTTCTTTAACTACATAATTCCGTGATTTGATAATTTCACCTGTTTTTAGAAATATTAGGTTAACAGCCTGCATCACAGGATCTAGTCGGTATCAGCTATGTTGAACCGACACGTAAACAGATCCTGCGTTTCGTTGTCCAATATACATGTCGAATACGCTTTGACATGAAAATGTCACATGTCGTAGTAAGAAGCATGGATTCGAATACATAAAAAATTTGGATGCAATAAGATACGGGTACGTCTATACAACTTATAAAAAAAATTAGGATGTATGAATACGTAATTCAGATACAACACTTTTAGTATGTGTGTAGTATGTTTCATAAGTTAAATAATAAAAATCAGCATAATTTCATTTTTATAAAGACAATAAAATAGAAGTCTGACATGTATTAAAAGTTTTGGGTAATTGGCACAAAACGTCCTTACCTTTCAAGTCTATTGTGGAAAACGTCCCTACCTTTCATTTTTTGGCATTTTTGCCCTCATTTCAACCTTTCTTTGCGCTGGACGTCCTTCCGTCCATATTCCGTCAGTTTTTCCGTTAATTAAAGGGTAATTGACACAAAACGTCCCTACCTTTCAAGTCTATTGTGGAAAACGTCCCTACCTTTCATTTTTTTGCATTTTTGCCCTCATTTCAACCTTTGCGCTGGACGTCCTTCCGTCCATATTCCGTCAGTTTTTCCGTTAATTAAAGGGTAATTGACACAAAACGTCCCTACCTTTCAAGTCTATTGTGGAAAACGTCCCTACCTTTCATTTTTTTGCATTTTTGCCCTCATTTCAACCTTTGCGCTGGACGTCCTTCCGTCCATATTCCGTCAGTTTTTCCGTTAATTAAATACAAAAATACCTTTTTCTTTCCATAAACAAGGGTAAAATTGTCCTCACCCACTTCACCCCTTTTTCCTGCCATCAACTTAGTCCATAAGTAACAGTAGCAGTAACATGAATCTGAAAATACTTTAAATGATTAAGTTAAATAAAGAAAAAATATCGTGAACACATTATATTTCACAATTCCACAACTACTGTTGCTGTCATCTTGTGTCACTGGAAAAATTTAGAAAGACATTTTTGAAATATGGACAGAAGGACGTCCAGCGCAAAGAAAGGTTGAAATAAGGGCAAAAATGTCAAAAAATGAAAGGTAGGGACGTTTTCCACAATAGACTTGAATGGTAGGGACGTTTTGTGCCAATTACCCGAATGTTTAACGGAAAAACTGACGGAATATAGACGGAAGGACGTCCAGCGCAAATAAAGGTTGAAATGAGGGCAAAAATGCCAAAAAATGAAAGGTAGGGACGTTTTCCACAATAGACTTGAAAGGTAGGGACGTTTTGTACCAATTACCCTAAAAGTTTTAATACTATTAGCTATTTTCAAAATAAAATTATAGTTGTCAACTATTAACACGGTTTTACCTGTATTAAAAGTTTTAATATTATTATTTATTTTCAGTAATAAGTGTAAATTGTATAGTTATCTATTAACTTAAAACACGATTAGTTTATTTGAAATTAACCCGCTTTAAAAAAATGACCAATTGACTCACTTCAAAAATATTGACCCATTTTTATTTTTAAAAAACATAATTTTTTTTGCTTAATCTATGGCCCTTCCACTACACTTGTAGGTAGTAGCCTCTACCGACTTCACTCGCTTTTGATGACATTTTTCATTGGATTCGTCAATAGTTTAATTTCTCTGTTTTTTCAATCGATCTCTTTTAAGTGGGTCGATTTCAAATAAAGAAAACAAATAACAGATTATTACACACTTACACTTATTATTGAAAATAGAAAATATTATTACAACTTTTAATAAATATAAAATCGTGTTAATAGTTGATAATTATAGTTTATTATTGGAAATAGATAATAATATTAAGACTTTTAATACATGTAAACTTCTGTTTAATTTTTTTATTTTTATTTTTTATATATAATAATGACATTGTGATTTAACTCATAAAAGCCTACATGTAAATGTATTCGTACATCCTAAATTTATTTAAATTTTATATCTGCGTACACGTATGTATTCGAATTTTTGCTCCCTGGCCCAGTCTTTCTTCCCAAGCATATCTTCCAAGACCTCAGGGCTAGTTGCTTTCTTACTCCACTCTATAGTTTGATGATCGATAGGCTTTGGGCTTCTATGTTCACAATGGTTACTAATGCGAGTACGAGGTTATCATACTACCCAGCGTGGGCCTTCTAAAGAACCTCTTTCTATTTCCCCAAAGTGTGCTGGCTTTCCATCTCTTCTTCGAACTCGTTGGTTACATCATTCTTACCTTATCTAGGTGCTTTATTCTAAGATGAATCAAATGTTTTCAGGAACATGTATAAAGAGCAATTTAATACTTTGGTTCCTCTTCGATTTGGGCTTAAAAATAGATTATTTTAAATCTTGTATATTTGGAGAAATTTGATATGGCCAGAATACATGCAATAGAAGCTTTGTATATGGTTCAATCCTTTTAGTAGAAGTTGGCGAAACAAGAGGCACCAAAGGCCCCAGTGATTCTTTGAGCCAGTTTAGTCTATGGAGGGTGAGTCGGGCCTAAGATTAGGTTGAAAGGTGTAGTTGATGGATATGTGATCCTTCCTATACAACTCCTGGTTGGTCCTAAGGGAGAGGAGGTTAGGTTTGTTGAAAGCTCGTTATTAATTCAAGAATGTAAGGTGCCTGCGGAGATATTGTTACCATGCACATAACTAGGGAAAAGCAGAAGTGAACAAAGAAAGATAATGCTGCTAAAAGTGTTGACGAACGCCAATTTTGTCGAGGACTGTAAATATGTAGAGGATGCAACTTTTTGTTGGCCTTCAAGAGAGAGAAAAAAAGAAGACTACATGGTTTCTTGACCCTGGTGCTCGCAGCCGTCTCAAAATGTCGTTCAAGTTGGATAAATAGAAGAAAATATAGAGTTAAACAATGAGGTTTACATGAAAAAAAAAAAAAAAAAGTGTTTCTGTCATTTTCACTTTGTTTGATCATTCAGCGTTTTTTCTTTTTCCTATTGGCATGGAAACAGGTACCACAACAACAAAATGACTATGACTGTGGTCTCTTCGTTCTTTACTTTATGGAACGCTTCCTTGAAGACGCCCCTGAGAGGCTTAAGAAGAAGGATTTGACCATGGTACTAAAATTCTCTGCTCTTACTATACTGCATCAGGGATTTTTTCTTTCCTGGCTTATTTTTCTTTACGGAGTGCGGGTATTAGCAATTTTTGATCATCACTGTGGTGTGTGTGGGTGTATATAATATTCAATATTCATATTTGGCTAAGCTTTCTAATGGAAATACTGTCTTGGAAAGTACTGACTCCATAAAACTATTTTTTTCCTAGTTTGGCAGACGGTGGTTCAAACCGCAAGAGGCTTCTAGTCTGAGACGGAAAATTAAGATTTTACTTAAAGAGGAGTTCAAGAATGCAAATGCTGGTAAATCTGTTTTGAATCCTGAGGTTCCATCTTAAATGGTTACTCCAATACCAATAGAAAGATTGCAGTAAATCGATACTACATTCGTTGTTTGGCGTGCCGGACTTGTGTCGAGGATGCTATATTTGTATGGGGACAGATTTCGACAAAGACCAAAAGGTTGTGCAGTAGAGTATTTGGCACAATATCAATTCTACATTTGAATAATTGTGATGTACATTGTAGAAATTAGCAGGCCAAAAGATGTTCCATTTGATAATTTATTCATGGTATTTGGCACAATATCAATTCTACATTTGAATAATTGTGATGTACATTGTAGAAATTAGCAGGCCAAAAGGTGTTCCATTTGATAATTTATTCATGTATCCTAATTAACTTGTATGAATTAGTACGTTTGATTTATTAAAAAACATATATTTGAATTTTCCTTGTGGTAATTTATAGGCTTATTAATTCTATAAATTAACAATTTGTTAAAGAATAATGTTATTTGCAGTTGTTCCCTATTCGAGTCGTCCTACATTACATACGAATGACATAATTAGTTGATGTACAGGTCAATAAAAAACTACATTTAATGTATCAAATAATTATCGTCATATGCATACCACGTAAGACGGATATCATGGTGAGAAACTACTAATAACATTATTTTTTGTTAAAATATAAATAATTGATTGTGTAAAGGGAAAAAGAAAAGAAAAAGGCAATTTTACATATGCTGTCTCGCACTCATTATTTATGGTGAGTTTGAGACAATTATTATTAGAACACTTGTGATGTAGAACACCAGTATTATCAAGTCCATTTTCGGTTGGAATTAAAATCAAATTTTTATTAAAAATTAATGAAATGCGTGGTTGAAAAGTTATTGATCTTATAAATTATGGTTAAAATTAGTTGTAGACTTTGATTTAGATTAAAATCTACTCCTAACGGAGACAGTTTTTAACTGTAAAGCTTCTAGAAATTTTTATTGATTGTCTAGAACTCAAAAAGTACCATGAATATCAAATTAAACGTTTGACAGTATAATTATAATCTCTACATTTCAATTGAAAAAAAGTTGTGAAAACCAACGTTCATAATAAAGCTTCTAACGCTCCTTGAAATTTAGCAGGAACTCGAAGCAAAGGAGCCTGGATTTCACCCGGCTTGCCAAGCTGACCGCAGGCAGCCATCTGATCATCGCCTCGACTCAGTCTCAAGAAAACAACGCACCCTGCTTCAGCAAGAACATTACGAAATTCAATCATCTTCTCCTCCTTTGTCGGTTTAAACTGGGATCCTTGATGAGGGTTAAACGAAATTAGATTGATCTTGCAAGGAATGCCTCGTACAAGATCAATTAGCCTCTTTGCATCCTCAATACTGAAAAACAAATCAAACTACTGATATAACCGATATATTTCGTTCACGTATAGACGAGTTTTTAGAGAAGTGGGTGGAACCTAGTAAGCAAGAGATACACACTAAATTTAACAACTATGTAGCTGTATTCGCGTTATACACGAGAAATGTATAGCACTTTTGGGAGTGGAATAGCCTAATCAGTTCTGAAGGACAACGTCGACTATCATATATGATAGTCGTATTTAATATTTGATATCACCAGCATTAGTACAAACTGGGGAGCACGTTTATAGGTATTTGGGCATGGAAGGAACTCGGAGATGATATCATTTATGGAGACAATCGATGCAAATCTCAAAACCGGTTGCATCGATCCCACTAATCAACGAATATGCATATTACTATTTTGTGGAACAATAACAATTATAGTTGAAGAACTGGTTAAACTTTTAGATGATCGATAGATCAGACATCTAAAAGAGACAAATTACGAGTCGTCTAACCTGTCATTAACTCCTGCAAGCATTACGTATTCAAATAAGACCTTGTAGTTGTGCTTCAGTCGAAGCTCCTCTCGAAGGGTGCCAAGCAGCATTTCTAAGTTGTACTTTCGGTTAATTGGCATGACCCAATTTCTGACCTGCATAATTTTTATAAAAGTGCAATTAACTCTATATACACTCTAACTCCCTCCTGGTCTACTATTTGTTTGGTTAAAATAAAGCTCCAAGAGAAATACCTCATTGGTTGTGGCATTTAAGCTGACAGCTAAAGCACAATTAGATTCATTGAGAAAACGTTTTAATTGGGGCACGAGCCCGCTTGTTGAAACAGTAACCTTCCGAGGACTGAATTGAAGACCTTGCTCATCGACCAATATATCTCCAGCTTTAATAACATTCTCATAGTTGTGAAGTGGTTCTCCCATTCCCTATATATTCATCGATGAAAATACCTTTGTTAGCGCTAGAAAAGTGCTTAATATAAATACCATCCTATGCACTCCTAATTAGTGGAATTCAAGGGGAATGGCCACATTTGGTAGCTCGTGTGCTTGATCTTTCAGTCTAAGATCGAAATCCTTCGCTCCCCCATTCCTACCATCCAAAACAGGCCTCTATCTTCCCCGTAAGCATAAAAAGAAAAGTGGTTTGTCTTCCCAATTATGTTTGAGTTGATAGATAATGAACTCAATTATACACTACAGCACATTCTTATCAGTAAGTAAAGTTTCTGATTCTTCGTCCCATAATAAGTATGTGATGTCTTGGCACTAATTTTGGATCGTGGGTTATCAAAGATTCTGCCTCTTTTTTTGCAAAGTGTTTAAACTATAAGCACTTTGGTGAAACCACTTTTTATCCACATATTTTATGGGATTCACTACCTATTTATCCACCACTCATCTTTATCATAACTTAAAACTATTATAAACAATTCCCAAACATGCATCTTTCAGAGACTTTCTTTACCGTGTCGGCAAGGATTCTCACAATTCAAAATTCTGATTCTAACAGCTTCACAAACAATGTACAAGCTTATTTCTTTATCAATTTTCTAATGATCACAATCTAGTATTCCATGTTGCGCCAAAAAGAACTCAAATTCTTTCAGGTCAACAGATTCTATAGGCACGACAAATGGTAAAGAAATTTTAACATTATAAATTGAGATAAAAGGAAGTAATACTAAAGTAACTCTGAGAGTACTTATCAGTATCTTAACAAGAAAAGCTAGTTGAAATGAAATCGACTCCTGTTCAGGATTAAAGATTTCACAGGCAAGTATCACAATTGTAAACTGGCTTGAGAAATAAACCCCCTCCCCCACCCCAACACCCCCTAAAAAAAGAAAAAAAAAAAAAAAAAAAAAAAAAAACACCCCCTAAAAAAAGAAAAGAAAAAAAAAAATGAGCACATCAATAATTAATCATGAAAAAGTGCAGATAAACTTAATCTCATGTGCAATTCAGTTAAACATTTACCATGAATACAACATTTGTTATGGTGCCAACTTCATGTGAAAGCAGGCGCCGAGCAAGAACAACCTGTTCCACTATCTCAGCTGCAGATAAACTTCTTTTAAGCCCCATTCTGCAAAACAACTCAGTACATTACAATGCAAGTAACCTTAAGCAGGTTTGAGCCTCATTCTCTAAAAACCCATTTTCAACAACACATTCTTTCAATAAAATAATTTTGCACGTAAATTCAAAACTTTTTCACACTTTTCAACCACACATTCTTCAAAAAAATCACTATCACAAAATATATTTCCCAAAAAATGGGGCTCAAACATAGTGATTTAATGGAGCGTGTTTGACCAAGCTTAAAAGTAAGTGAAAAGTTCATTTAAAGTAAAACATACTTATTCACATACAAGCTAAATTTTTACGCTTAGTCAAATATGTTCCATTTATGAATAGAGTATCCAAGCAATATATGTAAAATAATAGAACGATGAAGATCAAGCATGCCTTCCAGTGTAGCAGAACTGACAATTCATTGCACAGCCCACTTGACTAGAAACACATACTGTATTTCTTCCCCTCTGGCAAGGAATCACAACGGTTTCAATGACTAGTCCATCTTCCAATGTGAATAAAATCTGCAATCTCCTGTGAGTTCAGAATAAATGAGATGGTTCTTCTACATTCAAGTACATTCAGAGAGATTTATCTACCTTCTTTGTTCCATCAGATGCTGTATAAATATCCGTCACAGACAATGCTTTAAATTCAGCATGTTCACTCAACATCCTCTTGAAGTCCTTGTTCAAACCTGGCAAATGTGAATGAAATAAGAGCTTCAGCACCATTCGATGGAGGGGTAGAAAGAGAAACCAAAGTTATATGTAGGATATATGCCATGCCAACTGTAAAATAGAAAGTATTAAGAAAACATAGCCAACAGAGTTATATGTAGGATATATACACTACACTGCAAAACAAAACATAAATCTAGCTCATAAAGAGGAGGATAACCTTCCAATTCTTCTGCATGTCGTGCCCATGTATTGTTCCCATACAGGCGCTTCCATAACATCAAAGCCTGAGCAGGCCTAAAACCATGTGACCGAACCCAATTCTGTTATGAAGCATAATAAATTAGAAGCAGTGACGAGCAGCAGAAAAATTCTTCATGATCTTAAAGCCATCCTTAAAAAATTGAATCAAACAGAAAATAATCTAAAGTTGTAACCAATCAATCACGTTTAAAAGAACAACCGACAAAATAAAACCTTATGCCTAAAAATTTAAAAGATTATTGGTCATTACAAGAAGGTCCAGTAAGAAACTGTCCCTCAGCCCCGCACGCTATCCCATCCTCAACCCAAAGAGCCCATCTATGCATTTTAGACAGTTCTATAACATCATAGCCAGCTCGAGCCCTTAACGATGAGATGGAACTCAATGCATTACAGCAGCCGGTAACATAGGATTTAGAGCAGCAGGAAAAAAAATAAAAATAAATAAATAAATAAAATTAATTCGAAGTAAGATAAGAATAAAGCTATACATCATCAAAGTTCAGTTGTTCTTAAATTCACTATATAATCCAAAATTATGTCCAAATAAAATAATTTGTAGAACACAAAAAATGAACTTGAACTGTAAAGAAACAAATATGAACATTTACTCGAAAGAATACGAAACCATGGAAAAACAAACCTCAAGTTCCGGGTATCTCATTCCTTTCAAAACCACTTTCGATCCCTTCATTGGAATTCCATTTTTCTCCCCAACTCCTATTAGATAAAATAAAACGAACCCACATCATCATTTCAATCCAAAACAAAAACACAACATTTAAACACTTACAATTATAATACGCAAGTACTTCGTAGTGGGATTTACCTGAAGGGATGGTGATTGAAAGAAGAGGGGATGGTGAGGAGTTGTTTGAGATAGAACGGACATGGGAACTGGGAAAGAGAGTGAGTTGTCGTGGTGACTTTATTGTACAAGGGAAGGATATGGAAGGGACTATTGTAACAGCGGAAGTGATGAAAGAGGAGTGAGAGGCAGAGACGGTGGCAGTTATTAAAAATCGCCGCCTCATCCACATACTGCCGCCGTCGCTGCTCAACCGCATAGTGACTGAAAGAGCTTGAATGGAAAGTATAATATATAATTAACGAAATTATAATTAATAAAATTTTAATTTAATTTAGTCAACAACAAGCGTTTGTAGTCCAACGGTTAGGATAATTGCCTTCCAAGCAATAGACCCGGGTTCGACTCCCGGCAAACGCATTTCACAATTTTTTACTCTCTCTTCACTTCGAGATAATAGTACTTTTTTTTTAATGTCCCGTTGCCTAAAAAATATAAATTTAAGATGATTTTATGAACTTTCTTCTGTGCAAGATATCTTGGATACTATACAACGAGAGAGAATAAGATAAGTTGATTGATTAAATTTTTTTAATTTTTTTTTAAAAAGAACTTTTGTTACTAAATAAAACAGTAAAAAATAATTAATCGTCACCAACTGTTGACTCGATCTCTATTACCAAAGCTTCATTGTTTTGAGCAGGTAAGTTGTCGAACTATTATTGCAATTTTTGTATATTACAAACGGGTCATCTTTTATGTCAATCTTCTTGGAAAATGATTTTTTTACTTATTTGTGGTGTTGGGCGTTTTGAATTTCATGAGGGATGTTTGGGCATTTTGAATACTAAAAATGGGTTGTCTTCTTTATGAATTTTGCGACAATTTTTCGACCACTTCCGACCACCGATACCACCGGATTTTGATACCGTTGGAAAACCTGCAATGTCCTCTTCAATTACAACAAAAAAATCCCCCAAACTCCAAAGGATTCGGCCGGAATGAACCCACAAAGTTGGCTACCCAAAAAGGCAAAAATTTGCCCAAATTTTTGGTGGACTTTTGCGGCGATTTTTTGACAACTTCCGAACACCAAGATCGCCAGATTTTGATACCGTTGGAAAGTCACAATATCCTCTCTAATTAGCATCCAAAATCTCCCCAAAACTCCAAAAGATTCGGCCAAAATAAACCTGCAAAGTCGGCATCCAATTTGGGATGCCAACTTTGTGAGTTTATTCCGACAGAATCTTTTGGAGTTTTGGGGAGATTTTGGATGCTAATTAGAGAGGATATTGTGGGATTTCAACGGTATCAAAATCTGGCGGTCTTGGTGGTCGAAAGTCGCTGAAAATTGTCGTAAAAGTCGCCCAAAAATCTAAAAATCTGGGCAGATTTTCAGACTTTTTGGGGAGAATTTTGTGGTGATTTTTCGATCTAATTCCTTTGTGTTACGGAGACATTTTGAGTGGTAATTGAAGAGGACGTTGTGAGCTTTCCAACGGTATCAAAATTCGATGGTATCGGTGGTTGGAAGTAGCCGAAAAATTGTCGCAAATGTAACCAAAAAAACTATAAAAGTATTTTTCAATTTCAGTGATCGTTTCAGAAATTTTTTGAACTTCAGTGACCGTTTTTTAAAGCGTCCCAATACTTAAGTGATCGTTACTGAAAGTTTTAAACTTCAGTGACCGTTTTGTAATTTTTCTGTAAGTTCAGTGACCGTTTGTGAAATTAACCCATTGACTATTTGTAAGGGCCCATAAAAAATGAATCTGATGACATTATCTTCTTCGTTGGCCCCTAGAAACCTTACTTGAATCTATTCAATCGATAGCCAAAGGTTTGCCTACAAAATTTGTCGCTGTTGCGCTAAAATCCTTCTTCATCCGCCTATCATTTGAGATTTGATCTCAATCCAAATTTCGCTCCATTCGATTATTATAAAGGATACTTGATAATATACTATATAGTATAGAAGTTAAAATATTATCAACAACAATAACACCAACAATAATAATAATGCTTTCGAATAAATTTTATATTTATTTAATCCAATTATAAGTTAAAATGTTTTTTTTTTTTTTTTTTTTTTTTAACTTGCATTTTGTTAGTTTTAAAGTTTTATAAAATGATTTCATTATAGCTTTCCGTAAAAGCTCCATTACAGCTTTTAAAGAGAAGCTCGGAATTTGGACGTCTTCAAAACATCTTTCAAGCTTTTTTGTCAAAAAATACTTTTTTAAGTTTCGCTTAACAGCCAATAAAATTTGTTTTAAATTTTGAAAAAGATCTTACAAATGCACTCTAAAACTTTCATTTTATTTATAAAATTCAGTATACTGTTTGAATTGCTAAGTTACAGAAATATTAATTAGAACATGTAGATTGCAAATGGATTCTGACTGATAAACAAAAATAGATTATTTAATTTATATTTTATGTTATTAATAACATCCTTCCCATGATTGTTGATGCTTTCAAACAGAACCCCCGGCCTATACCGGTCCCAATTGGCGCTCTTTTGAATAGGATCAATGTGGTCCTGTTCAAGAAGAAAGATCTTCTCATAATATTTCGTTGAATGTGTTGGAGGAATTTTGTGAATAGTGACGCCAAAATAAGTATAATGATGGTTTGTAAATCCGTGCCGAAAATTGGACAGAGTAACGGCAAAGAAAACACAAATAAGAAGAAGAAGAAAGTAGGGACAAAGCCGAGGTAAGAGTTGGACTCTTTGTCCTTAAGTCGAATTTGCCCCGCAACGGTGTCTACGGATTTCGACAATCGACTCCCAAGATACAACGGCTACACTTGTGTTTGTAGCACTCCAAAACACAAGTACAACGAACCAAATTTAGGCTTATGTACTCTAAGGATGAAAAGAAGGAAAATCAAAATAAATGAAATGATTTTGATTTTGGATAGAAGAGAGGATGAGAGATGTTTTGCATATCAAATTGTGAGGAATAGGACACCCAAAGGGTCCTATTTATAGACCATGAAAGGGTGTGGACGAAATGGTTGAGGCCAAACCATGCACCCTTTCCAAACAATGCACCTTTATGAAAAGGTGTCTATTCACT